AAAAAAAAAAAAAAAAGAAGAAGAAGAAGAAGAAGAAAGATAAAATAAAAAACAGCTGTTTGGCCTAAAGGAAGAAAACGATTCCCTAATGACAAATTTACAATCAAGAGAAAATCGGGTCCAAAGAAATAAAATAAAGACAGCCAATGAGATTGTCTCTAAATTTATATAAAATAGTTTGATTATCAAAGGACAGGAAAGAGAAATGTCTCCAAAGAACCAAACAGCACAGTAACTCTCCAAAAGGAACAAAGAGGAAATGAGAAACAAAATGTATATGCATTTCTGAACTTTCTTTAAAACGGCCACCAATTCCCATATATCTTTAGCATATACTTAACATAGCTACTACAGGGATGGGGGGAGACTAAGCCCCACTCTAACCACACCACAACCCTCCTGAGACGCAGAGACATCAGATGTATGCTATTACAAGAAACAAACAACATTTCTGAAACGATAAGTAAGTGGAATAAAAAACATAGATTAAAATTATAGACCCTATTTCTTTAGCAATTAAATTAAAACCAAAGCACGCGGACGAATTAGAATCAGAAGTGGTAGTGATATCCGTGTCTGCATTGATCAACTCAGACCATCCAGGATCTACAAATTGACTTTCTTTTTTTCATATGAAAAAAATATATTATTGCATATTAATGGCACAGATATTTTCAGTTTGCCACTCTTTGCCGTCACAAGAACAGCCTAAAATTCTTAACAGGTGCCAGGTGCCTGTGCCATCTAGGTTACTGTATATGGGTAAGTGCAAATACCAAGTGCCTCACAAACTTGTACATACCTCAAATAGAATCCAGGATTTGAAGATCACTTAAAAGTCTCACAATAAAATCCCAAGACCTTTGTTTAATAAGTGTATTTTATTTTAGTTTGCTTTAGTGTAAAACCCCCAAAGGTAGGGTTCATTTTTCAGTCAAGTGATCGAGCTCAGTTCTTTTAGTGGGGGTAGAGAGATTAAACATGCATAGTGCGAAGATGTGGTATCCTATGGACCTCATCTGTGGTTGTCGTGTGCCTGTCCTCGAGTCCCGTCATTAACTTTTCCCTTCTCTGGCCACAACATGAAACGGTCATGAGTGTTGCAATTCCTTCGAACCAAAATGAAATTTTGCCACACTGTGCTATCACAGGAGTAACTTGAAGGCATATGTGAGCCAAAGGCTGCAAACTTTTGACATGATTTTCTCTCACAAGGCATGAATTTTTCTTTTTTTAGTTAGAAAATAATTCCTACTTGTTAGGATTTCCTTTAATTATCTTGTAATGCTTTTAACAGTATACCCACCACTTGGTGCTCCATAAAGATATTTACACATATACAATAAAAAGCCCATATATAGGAATTTTTGAATTGACATAGCATCAAAAATGGGGACATAGGTAATTAATGATAAGACAACATTAAAAAAATACTGTCAAATATCCATGTTATCCCCAGTGGCAGTAAATGATTTCTGTATAATAACATGTACACAAAATGAATAATAACTGGGCCATGTATTTAAGCATATGTTTATACCAAAAAGAAAGAGAATAATGATAATTGCATCTCAAATCAATAGAAGAAAAGAATCGCAGATGTTATGGCTCCTAACCACAGGAGGCAAGAGCCCTGAGCAAGGAAACTCTCTGGTGGCTGGAACTGCTGAACACACATCAGAAACAAAGAGACACAAGCAGGATGGGAATTCTGGATTGCCAGGAGAGGCAAAGCAAGCCTCCAAATTGAAAACTCACAGAATTTTCTCCATTCGCTTTACCCGAAATTTAAATTATGTATTACACAATTGTGTGGTCTTTCAGACCAGATTAGAGGGAAAATAGCAAACAAGTTTTTGAGGCAATGGAAAGAAATTTGCTTTTCTTTCATGGGACTAATCATAATTTTTGTGCATAAACGTGAAAACCCGGAGAAGAGAGCTGTCTAGGGGCTGACACAGATGGTGCATGTAGAAGAGGTTGTATCTGTATGAGAATCTCAATGGCAAACCTGACCACACTCGTAAGGAAAGAGCCACAACTGCAGTATGTTGTATACATGGCTCTTCCAGCCCACATTCTGTCAGCCACAGAATGGATGCCATCCAGAAGTGGATGAGGAACACCCTCTGAAATATGAAAAACCAGGGAACAACAAGGAGATTTACTAAATGTTCTTACATATATTCAGATTTCTGTGCTTTGAAGATACCAATTCCAAAATGTTTCCCATAGAATTTATGCAGCAGATCTGTCGCATTTACTCAAGAATAATTCATTTATTTTCCTATGTTTATTAATCAAATATGTATTGCAGATATGTATATGTAAGTATGCACATACAACCTCAGAGCAGCATAAAATGAGCAATGTAACACTGAGCTGATATGATTCCAGCTAAAAGTGAAAACAATTTGACGTTTTACTGTTTCCCACCCTCATTCTCAATGAACACCAAATGTTCCTTATGTATTTTTTAATCCTGAAAATAGCTTACTAGCCTACCTTTTCCCCTCTTTGTTTCTTTACACACCATATAATTGCATATAATTATAACAAATCCTTAACAGATTTAAGAGGATTTCATTGTATTTTGAACTGAACTGACTTTAAGAGGAATCCAGTTTGTTTCCCCTCCCTGAGGTAATATAAGTGGATTTTATAAAGACTTCGGTATTTTGTTTTAACTGAATAAAATAGTTGTTTCTGAAAAAAACTAATATAATCTTGAACTTTGTCAATTGAATATGACATCTAAAATAAGGAAGCTAAGAATCTCTCTCTACTCTGCTTAGATCATTGTTGAAATATATGTCCATTCTGGAGACTGTGCTTTCAGAAAGACATCACTGAATTTTGAGTTTTTCCAGAAAACGGTGATATATTTGATAAGGAAATTCAAAATTATGCTCAAGGGGAACCATTGGTTGAGCTACCCTGATGGACCTGGTAGATCTAACTATTTTTTCTATGAATAAATTCAAGTTAGGTTATGAATAATATTCTTATATAATATACTTAAAGTACATCATCAAAGTGAGAAGTTCCATGACTCCTCATTCAAGTTTATAAGTCAAAATCCGATGACTTAATAAACCAAACATGAATTTATAATTTAATTAGAACACAGAGCTAAAATGCACATTTTAGCCTCACTTATTTTTGGCAGGAATTATTATTTTTTTCTTCCATCTATAAAAAACCAAATTTTGACACTCTTATTATAGAAAATTGAACTTTTTACAGGAGCTCAGTTTTCCATACTCTGTGGATGCCCAGATTTTACAAAGCAAAATCTATTTTTAGAATATAATTAGAAGAAAGGAATTTTTTCATAAAGGTTAAAAATATTTAAATATTTCCAGGAAGGTGTATGACATCGGGGTTGGAGCAGTGATAGATTTGAGGGATCTTACCCGGGAACAAACAGACAGGACTTGGATATGGATGTGTGATAAGAAGGAGGAATGTCAAAGACACCCCTCCCCTGTTGTTTAAAAACTACAGTGAAGGAACTGATGTTTTCAGAATTACAGCATTCCACCAGAACCATTTAATATATCTAGTTGAAACATTTCCTAACGTTTCAATGGGAGGACTTGCCATTCCAGGAAACCACATTTTTTTTTCCCTCTGTGCCACATCTTTGCCATGCTTTTTCCCCAGCAGAACATATAGCCCCTTTCCTTAAAAATCCACCCTTTCCTCCCTAGCTTGAATTCTACCTTCTTGGAGACATACCTCAGATATGCTGCAATTTATTAATCCACCTTCAAATTCTTTCCATATAGACCTACTGTTCTCTCCTCATCTTTGCGACAGTTGCTTCACTTTGGAGGTCTTAATCAATATTCCCTTTTCTTTATCCCATATGCTAACATGATACTTAATTATTTCTTCCCTTCATTTAGTTGCCTGAATGTTTATCTAACCTTTTTTTACCTGTGTGGGTGAACTAAGTATAAAACCATTTATGCCATATCCCTTTGATTAGATACTTTTCTTTGTTTCACTTTAATTTTTCTATTTTTCTTCAGAAGCTTTCATTACCACAAGTAAGTAAGTAATAGAATGAATATTGCCCAAGAAAATGTTCTAATGCTTTGGGGGGGGGCCCATATTATATAAAAAAATATCCTAAGTTTTTACCAAAAATATCCATAGCCCTGTGCAAATTTAAAGTCAACACTGGGTAACTTTTTGTATTCATTACATTTCTCATAGGTTGTATTTAATTTATTCTATGATGCCTAAATTTGTTCCACAGCAATTCCAAACAAAAACAAATGCTTCAGAACAACTGAATAGAACATATACCCTCCCCCCCCCAAAAAAAAATCCTTTAAAATTAAGAAAAGAAGAACAAAACAAATCTGGGGTGTTTATGTGACAGATCTAATTTTATTTCCTTAGAAATTTCCCTCATTTACCCGGGAATGCTTACGTTGATTAATAGGGTATTTTTCATTTTTAATTTCAACTCATGAGAATCTCTGAAATGGGAATTTAGGAGTTATCAGTTGTCCCACATGACAATCCAAATGAGGAGCTAGCATGAGTAGACTTTGGGAGGAAGTCCTAGCAAATGTCCACTTACCTCTGCTGAGTCATGGGCCAATCAATGGCACAGCGAGTGACTTCTCAAGGCAATATTTTTTGTCCTGAAAAACAGAAGAATGACACAATATTTTATGTTTTACCATTTCCCTGCAAGTTTTATCTTTTCCTGTCCCAGAACTGATGAGAAATTTTTTTTCTTTTAAAAGGAAAGTAGAAAAAGAGGCAGGAACTACTCCATTTAGAGATAAGAAATGTTACACTACAAAAACAGAAAGAACAAGGAGATTAAAAAGAGGGTTGCAATGGAGGGTTCAAAAGAACTTCACTTCAATATGGGCCAAGCCCTGTTTGCTATTTTCATCCTAGCTTGATTAGCAGGACAAATCATTCCTGTTAGTAAAATAAATTCACTCGGAACTAATTGCCTAAGGTCTCACTGTAGCAAAAATCTTTCTCTGGGAACATTTGCTAATGCCTACGTTAAAGCTATTTCTATCATAACTTCTTTTAAAGTAAAACATATAAACTACATTCTCTTACTGAATGCATTCATTGTAAAGCCAGAACTCCGTGATTATTTGTATAACCTATGTTCTATTGTCATTGCAAACATTGGCTTATTAGGTGTTTATAGATTTATTTCCTAAAAACGAAAGGTAGGCTTGTGAAAAATCATAGAGTAGCAAGTTTTCTATAAACTGATGAACTATTGCAAATGGAGGAGTAATGCTCTGGAATTGAAAAACAATGCAGATATTTGGAAATGTTTAAAACTATAATGAAACATGCAATATCACCTTTTAAATGTTAGAAAAAAATGAATGAATGAATAAATGACTGAATCCTTTAGGAACTGGATCTTCGAGAAATCGTACAGGTGGCTTTTTAGACTGTTCTTACAGAAATTATAAATCAAACTGGAGCAAGCCCTAAAAATATTGTCTTTAGTTTTCTGAGGATCATAAGTCCAATTAGAGACCAATTACCAGTTCCAGAACATTTCTTGTTCTGTCTTTAGCAGAGACATAGAATTAATTGTTCCTTCATGCATATAAAGCCCAGGTCTTCATCTTTTAATCTCTTTTTGTATTAGTATTCTCTCAATTTTTCTTCTAAATAAGTTAAAGCATTATATATTTGCCCCTATTGTGAATCTTCCCATCATCCAAATGGGAGAGGAATGTGATAAAAGATCAAGGTGACTTACTTCACTTAGCATAATACCCTCTATATCCATCCATGTTGTCCCAAATGGCAAGATCTCATCCTTTTTTTAATGGATGTGTAGCATTCCTCTGTGTGTGTGTGTGTGTGTGTGTGTGTGTGTGTGTGTGTGTGTGTATACCGCATCTTCTTTTTCCATTTATCTGTTTATAGGTACTGCGATTGTTTTCACATCTTGGCTTTTATAAATAATGCTGCAATAAACATAGGGGAGCATGTATCTTTTCTAATTAGTATTAGTATCTTTTCTTTGGGTAAATACCGATTAGGCTACTTCTATGGCTTTGATAACCATCTATATGCTGATAACTCATTAATCTACATCAATTGCCTCAAATTTTCTCCTGAGCTCCAGATCTCTACTTTTAACTGCAAATAACCTATCTATTCCACAGGCATCTCAAAATCAATTTGTCTAAATGTGTATGTATTATCATTTTGGGGAACAAATTTTCAAAATGGACTTGTATGGTTGGTATTCAATCTCATCTCTTAGTAACTTGTAAAAGTCAGATACCAATTGGTAGACGGATTTTGCACATCAGAATTTAGTAAAAGCCAAACTATTTATTGAAAATGTCTTTCATCTCCTTATTTGTCATCATTCCAAATCTTAATAGAGATGCTAAATTAAATTTAAATTAAACTTTCATTTCTTTATTAATTAATGGATTGGTTTGCTATTGTTATTCCTGCTCAGACCCTTTCCCTAATAAAGATTGATTGACGCAGGCTTCCACCTTGAGATCTGAAATCAGTTTACTCGTAGCTTCCTGGAACAGACCCAGCGTTGTCTTTATTCACTTGACATAAATAGCTGTGTGTGACAGTAGCTGTGTGATTTATGATGGTCTAGTGCTAATTTACTAATGGAATTGGATGGGTAGATTTAACTTTCCCACGAAAACATTAAGTCTGATCTAAGCCAAGCACACTATAATCTCATATCACCAATCCATATTTCAAACCATACCTTTTACTAACATCACAGTTTGGATAAATGCTATTCAAAGCAACACCCTAAAGTGAATAATTAGAATGGTGGCTCTGTGGTGGTGAGGTCATTTTAATTTCAGTTTTTTCTATCTGGTTATTTCATAGGCATTTATAGGATGTTTATAGCTGAAAATAAGCTGATTTTCATTACTTCTTTCTTTTCATGTAAATAGATATGGATATATAGATATTGATGTGGAGATATGGATATGGACACAGATGTAGATAGATATAAATATAGATATTATATAGATATAGATGATATAGAAAGGTATAGACATAGATTTGAGATAGAGAGATAGAAATACAGGTAAAGAAATACATATAATGCTGGATTTTTTTCTTTTCATCAATTTCAGTAAACTGTCATAGTGTTTAATGGTATACTTATAATTACTGGCATGCTTAAGTGTTTCTTAGTATTAATATTTAAAAACATTGGTCCTTTGAGAATTCTTTTTTTTTTTAATTTATGATATTGTTAAAAATAAGGAAACAGTGTAGAACATCTCAATCCAAAATCTTATGTGAAATTTTCACTTTTGAGGCCATGGTTTCTAAAACTAATACTTTTTTTCTTTTTTTAATGTGGCCTACGTCTTAAATTTGTAGCACCAAGATTGTTTGGCTTTTCCTACAGAAATAGTAAGGAAAACCTGAAGTTCCTTTTTGTAATATTCACTTAACACAGAAAGAGATGCATATATACTTAGTAACCTGGACTTTTAGAACAGCTCATTAGTGCCATTTAGCATGTAATAGATATTTTGGCTAAAGAAGTTTATGGGTTTTACAAATAATTTCTTCCTCCCACACACCAAATGTAACAGTTTTATAGCCTTTTACAACTTCCACCCCATTCATGCACCTCGTCATTATACCAAGAGCCAAATTTTAATGATTTTTGTTGCCTCTAGCACCAAATACATGTTCAGAAGTGATGCACCCTAAACTCTGATTAAATGCCAAACTTTACTGATGAAAAACAGGTCCACTGAGTAATAATGATGAGTGAGATTTCATGCTGTTTTATTGCCAACAGACCATCAGAAACGGAGTTCAGTTCATATAAAAACAGGCCTCTACCAAACAAGTCAGGATGGCTGGCAGCCTTGGTAAACATGTAAATGAACTTGATAACCCTCCCTATTTGGAGAATTCATGTAAAACACTCTCTTGCTTGCTTTATTTGGCTTGGTTTAAAATGTCAAAGGATTTGCAGTGGGGCCATTAGCTTCTAAACTCTTAAATTAACGAAATGTGTATTATGATAGCTGACCAGGACCTGAAGTACAATATGCAATGACTCTTGAGGAAACCTGAGAAACACAACAAAACCTAATGTTTTACCAAGAATAATGTATAAGGTAGCTAAATATGTAATAATGGAAACATTATTACTTGGCACTACCTAAAGAATTAGCTTCATGAAGAATTGTATCTTGTTGTAATTAACAAGATACAATGATGTGAACGGAATAATAATACATATTTACTGATCACCCAGTATTTGCTAGACCCAGTACTATATTCTCTGCATATATGAATTCATATAACCCTTACAATATTTTAGTATAAAGAGGATTACTCCTGTTTTGCAGATATGAATACTGAAGATCAGGGAAATTAACTACCTTGCTCAAGCTCACATATGAGCTTTGGATTTAGATCTAGAGTTCAAACCCTGATATAATGGATCCAAACTCTTCTCACTACACAACATATAACACACAGCGTGCACACACACACGTTTGATATTTCATTCATTCAGTTTTAAACTTAAATTGTCATATTAATCTCTGAGTCTTTTAGAACCAAATTCCTACAGTCTATTGTAAATGAAGGACAAATGGGTGAAACTTCAGTGATTTATAAGCCAATTACTGAAAGATGACCATGTATGATATACACACATATAGTTGTCCCCTTCAAGGCTGAGATCGTTCTAGACAAAATGAGACAACGAAGTTTTGAGTTTGAGGCCCTCCGAAGTTTATTTCACACGTTCGCACTACTTATCCTCCAGAAAGTGCTTGTCCTTTTTCAGTCTAATGACTGTCAAAATGTCCTTTATTATAACCCAATCCCACAAGGTTGGACAATGGCCCAGATTTGCTAATGTCTTTATGTAGGTTTCCAACAACACATTCTACATCTCATTCTCTGTATGTCATTCTCTCATGTCTTCATAGGAGGTTTTTCCTATCTATTAAAATTCATGAGATTTCTATTTTCCCCAGTGAGAGGAAGGTCTTTTACCTTAATAAGACTTTTTCTGAGTGTTCGACCAAACTAATAATAATTGCAAACATGTCGGTCAGTGATTTCTCTTGCCTAAAAACCTGATCTTTCCTCTGCTATCAAATGCATTTTGTAATTTCCAAATTTTGTCTATCCCTTGCTTCTAACCAGCTCTTATATTTAATGCCTGAGTGATGCTGATTTAGCTTTACCTCTAATATTCACAATTTTGACTCATAAAGTGCATATGAGTGCATGCACATGCGCACACATGCACCTCTGGATGCCTTCTTATACGAACCTCTTTTGCCTCCTGGATACTAAACTGAGTCTGAAAGCTGGCCTCACACTGCCATGACTACTCAGCTCATTCTACAATTTCTGTTAAATTTCACTGCACCTCAATAAAGCAGCAAAAATCAACATGACATTTTTATAAAAGTTAAATATTTTGCAAAATAATATCTTTTTTTGAAATGGCTATTCAGATTTTTTATCATTTCACAAAGATAAACAATGGCATCAAATCTGTGTCCTAGAAAAATAAATTAGTAAGGTAATTTGATTACTGGATCTTTGGTTCCAGAATAAAGAACATCTTTGATTCACTCAATTTTAATCATTTTGTACCGTACTTTAAAT